CTGAAAACAAAATTAGTATACATATATACTAATTAAGTATATATATATATATATATATATATATATATATATATATATATATATATATATATATATATATATATATATATATATATATATATTCTTATAACTATATATTTATATATTCTTGCATGGTAGTCAGAAAGTTTTTCCTATAAACTGTAGTTTAAAAGAGAGGGTTAATAAACTAGACCAGAAAAAGTTTAAAAACTTTAATAATAAATTTTTTTTTTCTTAAATGATAGACTGCCTGCCCAAACCAAACCCTTAGTCGATGTTGCAGCACTCTCTTGCGAATCAGGCTATTTGTCAGTTGATGTAGCAGCACTCCCTTGCGCGTCAGGCTATTTGTCAGTCAATGTAGCAGCATTCTGTTGAGAGTCAGGCTATAAAATAGTCGATGTAGCAACACTCCCTTGTAGCAGCAGGCTATAAGATAGTCCATGTAGCAACACTCTATGCATGTTTTGAAAATATATTTTAACAAAACAACAACAAAAACACCATTAATTAAAAAAAACTTTCTAGTCATTATAATTGCAGTTTTTTTAAAAAACAATAAAATTTAATGTACTTCTGCATTAATTTATTTGCTTTGACATTTCAACGACAATAAAACACAGCTTAAAGGGACTACCAAGTCCCGAGACATGTTGTATTCATATTAAAAAGAATGTTAAAAAAAAACGTCTGAGCAAATTTTTGTTGATTAAAACTAATTAATAAATGTGTACCAAGAAAAACAAATCTTGTTGTTTTAGTCGAAGCTCGTCTTCTCCATTTTCTGCAGTATTTTGAGTATGTAAAATAAACGCAATTTTCCAGGCGCATTATACAGACTTGATAATTTATTCAAGCGCGTTTAATTCATGGGAGTTTTAGAGATGACGTCATTAGAAACATTCTAGAAATTCTTTTTTTTTTTTTTACTATTAAACTTTACTAAAATAGCTAACTATAGTTACTTATTTTATTAAAAGTTTATTTTATTAATTGTTCGCTAGTTTTTTACAAATCTAACGAACAACTAATTAAACCAAGCACTAAGAAAAGATATAAAAATTAAGAATATACTAATAAAATATATTATTTGTAATTAACTTTCAAAATTTTGACAATTTAAAAAATATATATTATAAAACATTTATTTTTGTAAACAAATGATAATAGTTTAAAAGATTTACGGCTTTACAGATGTGGCTCCGAGAATGAGCCATAATATTAAAGTAATAGTTCATTTGATAATATATTCTTAAAAAAATTTATGCTAAATATCTCAAAACGCAACAAATCGTAAATAATACAATTCCTAAAACATTTCAACAGAATACTCTAGAACTTTATTTCGCTTAGTCAGCGTGTTTTTTGAACCAATAGAATTAGTTTGTTCCCAAATTTGGCGGGTTTTTAGTGTTCGCGAATACTCTTTTTATTCTTCCGCAAGATGTTTTAAGAACATTCAAGTTAATTATGTCTCCATGTATGTCTGTAAAAGAAAAATTAATATATATTAATTTTTAAGCCCCGTCATAATATATATTGGATGTTATAATAATGGAAATATAAATAATGAAATAAGATCACCTCAATACCAAAAAATACATTTTTGAAAATCAGAGAAAAAATGCGTTAATAATTTTTTTTTAAATATTTACAAAGTAAATTAATAAAAGTGCATTATTATTTAGGTTAAAAATTATTTAACTAATATTTTGAAAGAAAAACTTATAACAAAAGAAATCGAAATACATGTGGTCTAGATGATTATTTTAAAAAAGTTGCGCAAATAAAATACTATTTTGTTTAATTTTTTATTTTTGTTTTTAATTTTATTTTGTTTTTAATTATGTTTTACAAACACATTTTAGAACTTTAAAATATAATAAAAATGAATATGATTTGGAAGTTGTATGTAAAAAATAACAATTGGTATTTTAAACAAAAAAAAAAAAAAAAAAAAACTATGACATCATGCACTAAAACTATGAATTAAAAAATGGAAAAGACAAGCTTCGACTAAAACAACAAGATTTGTTTTTCTTGGTACACATTTATTAATTAGTTTTAATCAACAAAAATTTGCTCAGACGTTTTTTTTTTTAACATTCTCTTTAATATGAACACAACATGTCTTGGGACTTGGTAGTCCCTTTAAGAGATGAGGCAGCAAAATTGTAGTCGAAAGAGACTTTTTTTTTTTTAACATAAAAGTCTCTTTTGACTACACTATAAGGATATATATATATATATATATATATATATATATATATATATATATATACATATATATATATATATACATATATTTTTCTAGCCCTGGCTATCAACCCCTGCTAAATCCTATAGTATAACCGGGGGCCCAATCACTTACTACCTCAAGTCTTGTTTTAAAGCATTATGCATAGAGCGATTTATGTATGTTTTAAGCAATTTTACATAAGCAGTAAGCAATTTTGGTTAAACGACTTTATAATTTTTTAACTTTAAAATTATGCCAGAAGCGATAAAAAAAAGCACATTAACTTTTGAATGACGTTTATGTAAAAATATTTGTTACAAAAGTTTGAATGACAATTATATTAAATACAAGCGCTTTTTACAAATGAAAAAAACTCAAATAAAATTTAAAATTTATTCTTATTTTGTTCTTATTTTATTGTAATGATTGATTTTTTCGCTTGAAGAATGCTAATACTTTAAGCTTGAAGCAAAGAACATAATAATATAATTTAATTCTGATTAAAAAAATATATGATTTAATTTAAAACTAATTTAATAAAAATATATAATTTTATTCTTATATATATATATATATATATATATATATATATATATATATATATATATATATATATATATATATATATATATATATATATAATTTAGATTATCAAATATATAACTTAATTTTGATTTCAAAAATATATTTAAGTTTATTAAAATTAAAGTTAATGCTTGGGGTTAACTTAACTGTCAAATTTATTTAAAAGCATTACTAAATATTTTTTCAATATTTAAATTTTATTTGTTCTAAAAAAAATTAGCTAATTTTTATCGCAATTGTTTTTTCGGTTTTCATTCCTAAACTTTTTTTTTTCTCACTCAAAATTAAATTTTAAATAAATGGCTGCATCAAAAGTTTGCTCAAAAGTTAAACTTTGGTGCAAAATTTTTATAACCCTCTCTCAACTCTATAATATGTTACAACCCTCTCTCAACTCTATAACTCTGAAACCTGAACTTAGATGAACAAGGCTGCTGTGCGGAGAAACAAGTTAAGCGCGGTAATACCAGGGATGTGGTTGGGATCGAACTCGGAACCTCTTGCTTATGAAACGAGCACTTTACCACTACACCACCGCCACTATATACAGCAATATACTTTTAATAAATGATGTATAGAAAACTAATCTTTGCTTTCACAACAATATTGTTAATAAAATAATAAACTTTTAATAAATAAAGTAATGAAATTTTTTACTTGTTACTTGCTAGTATTTTTTTAAGTTATAACTATTTCCCTAAAGGAAATAGTTATAAACTAAGTTATTACTGCAAAAGGAATCCTTTTGCACATACTCTGTTAAAATATTGTATACTATTACAATATTTTACCATATTTTGTCATTAGAACATTTTGCAATTTGTTAGTATAAGTATAAAAGATCAATAAAATTCTTATTTTATTCTATTAGAATAATGTTTGTTTTTACACAATTTTGTATGTCTACAAATAAATAAGCTGTAAATTGGTGCTAATGAAACTTTCAGTCTGAAGGGAAAAATAATATTCCCAATATTAAAATGTGGTAGTGGTGTAGTGGTAGAGCGCTCGCTTCATAAACGAGTGATTCCGAGTTCGATCCCCACCACGTCCCTGGTAGTACCGCGCTCAACTTGTTTCTCCGCGCAGTGGCCTTGTTCATCAAGGTTCGTGTTTCAGAGTTATAGAATTGAGAGAGGGTTATAACCACAAATACGTAGCCTCCTTGTCTGTAGTGGCCTTCTTGGCCTTGAGGAGGTGAATTAAAAAAAAAAAAAATTAGATTCAATAAATTTATGTTTATTAAAAGATTAAGTTGAGTAGTTTTATGTTTAATAAAATATATTTATTCATAAAAAATTTGTTATAATTATTGCCAGTTTTATATTACTTTTTTAACTTTAACATAATTATTTATATATAACAAGAATTTCATATATATATATATATGAAATTCTTGTTAATAGTTTATTATTATTATCTTGTTATTTGTTAATTGGCTAATATTAGTTTATTTAAATTATTAATGTCAGTAAAAAAATTAGGGTCTATAGAAAAAGAATTTCTGGTAGTCAAAAATATCATAATTTAAAAATATGGTCTAAATCTCTGATTTTTTATTTAAAATAAGGTACTAAAGTATATTGCTCCTTAGCAATAGCATAGCAACTAATACACATCATATATTGATTCTTATTGAACTGCTTGTGAAATAATTTTTCAAAATATGTTTTTAAAAAATACTGATGATAATTTATCTTTTTTGTTGCCATAAAAATTAAACAACATAACTACTTTACTGTGCTGAAATGTTACTTAACTTCATGTTATGTGTAGATTGAAAGCTGATGTTATCTATTTTAGTTATTGATGTTAAATATTACCTGAATATAATTCTTTATTATTCTTTTTTTTTGAGCGGAGGTTAAAATAAATATACAATTTTTAGTTGTACATTTTAAATATACAAACTGATGTTTTGAGGAGAAGAAAAACTTGTGCTTCTCAAGTTTTTTCAAATGGATGAAAGAAACCAAAATTGCCAGCTTTTTCTAGAAATATAGATGCTTTTGTAATGAAGAACCATCATTATTTTTTTGCCTAACTTTACAATCTCAATCAATGTGAATGTATTACCTTATTGTGTAGTATTTCACAACCTCACAGTAATCCAAATGAGTTCAAATGATCTTTTAATTGATGTTGATGTTATTAT